AACAAAAAGAAAAAAGCCGGAAGTGGCGCTGTGGCTCAAGTGGTAGAGTGCTAGCCTTGAGCTGAAGAGCTGAGGAACAGTACCCAGACCCAGAGTTCAGGTCCCACAACTGGACCCAAAAAAAAAAGAGTTGCATCTGAGTGTATCTTTATTGAAGAGAATTAACATTTTTATACAGTGTTTGATTGTGACATAGATTCTTTAAGCATGTAATCAATTTTTAAGAAAAGCAAAGCAGGGCTGGGAAGGTGGCTCAGTGGTAGAGCGCTTGCCTTGCATGCATGAAGCCCTGGGTTTGATTCCCCAGCACCACATAAGCAAAAAGGAAAAATAAGCCGGAAGTGGTGCTGTGGCTCAAGTAGTAGAGTGCTAGCCTTGAGCTGAAGGGCTGAGGGACAGTGCCCAGGCCCAGAGTTCAGGCCCCACAACCGGACCCAAAAAAATAAAAAAGAAATTTAAAAAAAGGAAAGAAAAACATTAATGGGTTACATGGAAATTGATGACTATCCCACCAACAGTTTAAGTTAAGTGGTGCGACACAAGTCTAGCATATTATTTAATACAATGCACCATCTATTCAGCCTTTTTTTTTTTTGGTCATGGGGCCTGAACTCTGGGCCTGGGTGCTGTCCCTGAGCTCTTCAGCTCAAGGCTAGCACTTACCACTTGAGCCACAGCACCACTTTCAGCTTTTTCTGCTTATGTGGTGCTGAGGAATTGAACTCAGGGCCTCATGCATGCGAGACAAGGACTCTACCACTGAGCCACCTTCCCAGCCCTATTCAGCCTTTTTATGTTTAATAATTAACAAACCTAAGACAGGGATGTACTTATATTGTACTCTTTTTATTTTTTCCATAAATTTTCAAGTCCCTTTGAACCCATCCTAAAAACCACTCCCAGGTTGAGTCAAGCATTCTCCGTCCTATGATTTTAATCCCAATATTTTTAACATGAATTTCTAATTGTTATTTTAAACTATCTTGTTGTTGTTTTGATAATAAACACCATAATGATCTAGATCTACCTAATCTTTGCATAAAATCTAATGAGTACCAAGATACTCTTTTTCCTTTTACATTAATCCATCTATTCCATCTTTATAAACACCTGTATAAGGCAATGGTTCATCAGTCAGCTCAGGAAATGTGATGTCATAACTTTATATTTTGTGGGAAACCACCATGTATTCCTTATAATGTAAGCTGGACCAAACTTAGTCATAACTGTTGGGGGAATCTTTCTTTTCCTTTTATTATCAGGGGTCCCTTTTTCTAGAACTCTCTGTGCGTCTGGGATAACTCCTTCTGGTTTAGTTTAATTCATTAATTCTGCCTGTTTGTTGTAACATATCTGGAAATTTTAAATTTCTATATTTACTATGAGTGGGCCACAAAACTGCTTGTGAAGTTGCAGGAGTTTCTGGAGGCAGCGTCACATCAGATGATATATTGTTTGGGGCATTGTCCACATCTAATCTTTGGTCCTAATCTTTATTATTCAGAGAAGCCGTCTCTATTGGACTGGAAAGGAACAACATGCCCTCTTTGCGGATCAAAAAAAAATAGCCAAAACGAGAATAAAGGCAACGAATGTACAGCCAAGAAGAATATAATAAGGACAAAGGTAGAGGCAATAAAGGTGCAGCCAAGTGTATAGGAAGCCTTGAACCAACACCCCCTTCCTGCAGGCATGCTTCCTTGAAGCTTATGCTTTGCCTGGCACGATCTCTCAGGCAGACTCTGCAGGAGGTAGTGGTGGCACTGATCCAGCATTTCTATTTTGGGGAATGCTCAAAAGAAGTAAAAACAGTCTTTTTTTGGTATTTTATTAGTATTCATTAATAGAACAAGTGTGTAGATGTCTGTAATGTACTTTGAACAAGTTCACCCCCTCTGTTGTATTCCTTTAACCCCCTTCTTCCTTTTTCAAAGTGTTCACTGGGTCTCACTGGCTAACTTCATACATACACATAACATCCATCCTCTTGACCACCTCCCCTATCACAGGGAACCCTCCTCCACTGGACCTCTTTACATTCATGTATCATCATCATCGTCATCATCATTATCATCATCATCATCATCATTTTAGGTCTAGATTCTACATATGAGTGAGATAGTTGGGATTTGGCTTTTTGAACTTGGCTTATCTGAACATGATAATCTCCAGTTTCCACCCATTTTCCTGAAAATGATATAATACTCCAATACCACATTTTTTAATCCATTCATCTGTTATTGGACACCTAGGTTGATCCACAACTTGCTGCAATAAATGTATATATGCAAGAACGTGGTTATGCAAGATCCCTCCCCACCTTGGCCTCAAACATGCTAGGCAGGTACACTTGCTGGTGACAGAGGGACTCAGGCAGTGTTAGAGTTCAAGAGACTTTCTGAGAGAATAGTCTTTACACTGAGACCTGACAGATCCATGTGCAATGAGAGAGTAAGAGAGTTTTAGACCCAGGGAGTAGCAGGTGCAAAGAACCTGAAGTCAGAAACCAATCATGGCCTTTGTCCATGATGGATAGACTTTGAAGATGGCCCCAGAAATCCCAGATTGTCTTTGTGGAATCCCCTCATTGGGTGTGGGCTGGATCAAGTGACTTGTTTATGCAAAGATTTTGTGTGGCAGGGGGAGGGGGGTTGTTTTGTTTGGTTGTGCTTATACTGGGCTTGAACTCAAGGCCTTTTGCTTTGCTTTGTTTTGTTTTTTTTTTTGCTCAAGGCTTTTATGTTCTACCACTTGAGCCACATCTCCATTTCTGGCTTTTTGCTGGATAATTGGAGAATTCAGGCTGTCTCCAAATCTTAATTTTCAAATCTCTGCTTTCTAAGTGGCTAGGATTACAGGTGTGAGCCACCAGTGCCCAGCTCAGATAGAACCTTGGACCACAATCCTCCTACCTCCATCTCCAGTATATTTGAGATGATAAGCATGTGCAATTTTATTTTATTTTTTAAATTTTCGTGCCTCCTGTTGCTTGAACTCAATGCCTAGGCACTGTTCCTGAGCTTTTTTACTCAAGACTAGCACTTTACCAGTTGAGCCACAGCTTCACTTCCGGCTTATTTGGGCAGTTAATTAGAAATAGTCTCACCATCTTTCCTGCCCCAGCTGGCTTCAAAACTTGATCCTCTGATCTCAGCCTCTTGAGTAGCCACCAATGCCCAGCTGGCAATGACATTTCTTTCCTGATGTTTCCAAATGAAAGGCTTCTTCTCCACCCCAGACACCCCAGGAAGAGGAAGGGACAAATTCTGCCCTGAGTTACCACCATATAATCATTTGGGCCCATGCAATTAGAACCCCATACCTTGCACACCCCTTGTACACATACAGCATTACTATCTTTCACTAAGGATAAGTGACTAAAGGATTGTCTGTTGTGCTTACCCTCTCTTTCATTGACACCACCTGTGCATCCTCCATGACCCTCTCCCTCTCTTCTATTCTGTTATGAGGTGTCTATGGAGAAACCCAAGGGGCCCAGGAGATTCTCCAACCATAGCTTATGTAGATCCCAGATCTTGGTACAACCCACAAGACTGAAATCCTGCCAATCACCACGTGAGGGAGCTCCTAGGTAAATCCTGCCCCAGCTGTCCCTTTGGGATGACTGTACCCTTGGCTGGCATTTTGATAATGTCATCTGCCAG